ATATAGAAAAATAAATCTGCTTACAGTTCTGTTTCATATGGGTGTTGAGAGATGTATCCATAGATCTCCTGATGTTGCTCTCAAAGTGCACCGGATTGATGCTTTTAACTTCAACATTAAAAAACAAAATCTTCCCGGGGGAGCATGCCCCGCGGAGGTTAGGTCCCCCACCACTTAAATCATGTCCACATGGATAGGAAACTAAATACATTTGCACACATCTTGTGTCCATATCTTTCTGTTTTGGTGGTCATGCCACAACCGTGCACGTGAATACGCGAGTCATGCATTGGTAAGATATCTGGATTAAGAGGTTGTTTTTTCTTTGCACAGCATGAAAGAAAGGCCAAATGAATTGGCTGTGATTTTAGTATTTTTAAGCAGAGGTCAATAATTTGTACGGCCCTCGGAGGATGTTGAAAAAATTTAAATGGCCCTTGAGAGGAAAAAGGTTCCCCACCCCTGGTTTATCCTCTCCGTACATTTAGACTTTGATGCTTGTCCTAACAACAACAACAATAATAATAATAAATGTTATTTGTGAAGCACCTTTCATTGCTAAAAGTAATCCCAAAGTGCTACAAGGGGCGTAATATATATATATAAAAAAAAAGAAACACAAGTTTAATCAAAGGCTTTTTTTGAAAGAAAGGTTTTTAGGCCAATACGACCACTTAAGATGTTACAAGTTGAGACAGCTCAATTATGCTCAGGGCCAGTAGTCTGAATAAAGAAAAACATGTTTCTGAACTAGACACAAAGCAGTTTTCACCTCATATAGCCTCCAAATTGCACCACTGTGTTATTCTCTTATAGACTGCTTCTCATGCTCACCATTGTGTTTTGTAGTTCTAGCACCCGTATTGTGTAATAGGATTGGTCTTCCTCTGAGAGCAGCCTGACCACAAACCCTGTGTCAGTGAAAGACATTGGATGCTCCTCTGAGGTGGGCCAGTACTGTGCACACTTTTCCTGTTGACACAAAAATGAATTGACTTCATTTTTTATAGGAAGCTGCATTTATGTGCAGAATAAATGAACACTGATTGAGGATCCATACATAGGCAGCTCCCACAAAGCATATTCAAACCTCCACTGCACACAGCTGGATATTTAGTAGGAGACATATTGTGTTCAACCATCAAACATATTAGATGCAAATCATTATTCAAGCCACAGCATTTTATATTTCTTCAAAAGTAAATAGCTACAAAATAGTCATTGATATAGATAAGTGGTAGTTGATAAAGGTACGGTAATGTATGTTATTTCAATATTTTCCTCTCAGTAGTTTCCTTAGCAGAAAATAAGTCTTCTTCTTTTAACAGTAAAAAACAATCATATACATATTCTAAAAAAATTTGCCATGAAATTATATTTTTTAAAAACATTGTATGGCCTTTTCCACCAGTGTGCGCATGTGTGTGTCTTCTGTGACTGTCCTGTGTTGGAAAAAGCACTCTTAGTGGTCCCTAAGGCTAGAAAAGTGTCATATCAATGCATTTGATTGATCACGATATGACACGCTGAAACAGACAGCCAGAAAAGCAACGATAGCAGGTGTTGAGGTATACTCACAGATCCCTTTTCAATGATTCTGTTGAGCATTAGAACAGCTTTGGAACACTGCTCCCAAATCATTAGCCAGAAATGACCACAGGTATTCCTTAGAGGCCCCTGTTGAAGCACAAGAAATTCATATAAATAGAGAAAGCATGTCCTGTCTTTATAAAAAGTTCACAAGCATCAGAGAAAAATGTTGCATTCTTTATCAAATACTTCAAAGATGCAGCGTATTCTTTTGCAGACATTGATATTGCTCGTATCGTACCTGAGACAGAATATAAGCTCTTTGGGCTTCCTCCATCATGACTAAACTTGCATTGATGTAGTCATTTTCAGAGTTTTCAAGTTTGACCCGACTGTGATCGACTGAAACCAGATGAGAGCCCATACATACATTACACATATGTCCTTTACAATAAAGCTTTGCTACCATATTTGTTTTAAGACTCACATGGGCTGACGTCTCTGTAGCGGTTCAAATTCCGATTCATTGGGAGTTTTGCCACTTTGTAAGGATATTCGCTGGCTTGGTTACGGATCTCCTGTTGGGAGTTAGGAGATTGTATTATTGATTAAAAAACAAAAGGAGGGAGCCATACTGTTATACAAACAGGAACATACGTGTGAAATACACATCCTGCATGTCTAAAGGGGCCAGAGACACTGACGACATTCATGTCAAAACAGTAACACACAGATAAAAGCTATTCAATCCACTATGTATTTTGTGCTAGGTTTATTAGAATTCAATGACATCTATTATTGACAAATATTTCTATTGGGATGCTTTTGTGTTTTGTTTTTATGACACAGAGCTATTAACGTGCGTATAGGATGGGGATTCAGATGATTTATAAGAGTCTACTGAAACAATTATGATAGATCTAAACAAGTTTTTGACAGGCCGCATAATAGTTTCAAATATAAAGTAACATTAAAAATAGTATTCTACTTCGCAGTAGATTATAATAATATCATCTGAATAATTGTAGACCTTTAATGCAATTAGTAAGTCAGCAAAACAAATAAAGACTTATTATTATTTTTCTATCAAATAATACATTTCCCTCAGGCATTTACTCTGAAGTTAGTTCACTTCTATGACAACATTTATAGTCCTGTTAAATGAACAAAATGATTGTTTACAGTAGCATCGTTATTTTAGTTTGCCTCTCTCACTTCCAACGGTTAGCTAGCTGCTAGACAACCTTTCAGACTACAGGCGATCCAGGTGAGTAGCTAATGTGAAATATGACATGGCCATAGCCTAAGCAGAAAACCAGAACAGAAAAATCATAAACTACTAGCTGGGCTATGTTGGACAGCTGGTGGTGAAACACATGCGCTTTTCTCTGGAAGTCCTTATGAGTTCTCAGAAACTGCAGCTGACGTCTGGTAGCGTCATTCAGCCTTAGCTAACTGAGCTCCACCATGAACACTGTGCCGCTGCACGTTTTCAAGCTAACGTTAAAAGCTTTCTAGCTACGGAAGTCAGCGACTACAAGCGCGGATTGATTGTTTCTCATTCGCCTCTAAGCTGTTCACTATCTGCATAGCACTACATATAACCCCAAACCATGTTTCGAGTTGTATAAGTTAACATAATTACATTGGTCGTGTAGAAGGCTAAAAGTAACCAGATACCGGGAAAGGTATCTTACTGGCTAGCTAGCCAAATTAGCTAGCCAAGTAAGTTAGCAACCGATCGTCATAGAAACACCAGAGGCCCAGTGTCCCGACTTACATTGTAAAGGTTTTGCCATCTCCCGGACGAATCAATGTCTTCAAATTCTTGCTCCATGTTATCGTAATAAGTGCCCGAGACACTTGCTAGATGATCCCAGAGTGTTTGCAGCACCGTTCACCAAGTTACTCCTTTCTGTCAGCCATCTAAACAGCAGTGTGTGTAACCCTGGGGATCCCTGCGGGGAGTCTGCTCCTGCACAATACTGCATGCAGGCCATATGCAGGCTCACTGACTTGGGTTGCCAGTTGCGCTTTTTTGTCAACTTAATAAAAAACAACAACGAATCAACTAAAACCACATAGTTCTTTGTTATCTTTGTGTACAACTATGTTAAATCATATAAAATGTATTTTAAATATATATAAATAAAACAAACCTGGTCTACTACAATAACCAATGTAGCTATTTAAGAAAAATAATAATGTATCTTTATTTATTTGTTTACATACTACAGAAGCCATGGTTAGAGTAACAAATAAAGTATCATACAATACAAAATACATATTTTTTAAAACAAGTTTGTCACATTCCTCTAGTCTAAAAGCGTTCAAATATAAGTGTTTTAATCTACTAACCTGGCAACCACGGTGACCGGTCGGGGAAAATGTAAGAATATGTCACTTAATAGAGTTAACTAATACATTTCAGCTAAGAGTTTTAATTTTTACGAAATTATATAGGCTACTATTTGATGTTCAGATCGACATGACACGTTTCAACATAAATGTTATCATGGAGTACCTTAAAAAAGGATTTACCTAAACTTGGTTTCAATGCGCCCCCCCGTGGTTAACTCCAGGGATAGCACTCTACAGGACCCGCCAAACATACTTACACAAGTGGACACATTACAGGCCTGCTAGGAAATTAGTTAAGCTAGGGTTGCTGGTTAATATTTGCTAATTGTAATCATGTTTGTAGCGCGAAGTATCACAGCAGATCATAAAGATCTCATTCATGATGTTTCGTATGATTTCCACGGCCGGAGAATGGCCACTTGTTCCAGTGACCAAAGTGTGAAGGTAAGTTCAGTTAGCTAAGGTTAGCTCTCACAGCAAGCTTGTTAACACCACCCGTAGTATCACACTCTTAACACCCTATTGGAGAGACTGACTCTCATTCCATTGTTGATGGACGTAAAGTTAGGTCATTTGCGATATATATGGAAACATTTGAATGTCGAAGGAATCTAAACCTTGTTTGATTTAGCTAGCTTGATAGCCATGGTGCCTATAGCATACAGGCTAGGGTAGCTACAGATAACTTTGAGATGCAGTTGTAGCTTCACGTTATCACATCCAGGAATGTCGTTGAGAGCTCTGTTACCATCCACACAAGTATAGGCTGTAGATAGACTTCGTATCTGAAATATTTCGTATTTGTGTTACCTGCACGTTATTTCATTCAGGTTTGGGACAAAAGTGAGAACGGAGAGTGGCACTGCACAGCCAGCTGGAAGGTAGGCCACTTGCTGCTTATAACATCGATTTAACCATTAAAAGGCTTTCCAGCTCAAAAATTAATTTCAAGTATAATTGCATAATGGCATATCACATCACATTAGCGTTTTTGCAATGACTGTTTATGTCCTATTCTGTCTCTTGTCACTTTTCTGATATTAAACAAATCTGTATCTAGTGTTGGGCTCTATTGGTTTGACTAAAGCTGTTCTGTGTGCAGACACACAGCGGCTCCGTGTGGAGAGTGACCTGGGCTCACCCAGAGTTCGGGCAGGTTCTGGCCTCCTGCTCCTTTGACAGGACCGCTGCTGTGTGGGAAGAGATTGTAGGGGAGTCCAACGACAAGCAGAGAGGACTGAGCCACTGGGTGAGTGAAACTCTGGCATCCTTATAAACTTGCAAAGCACACATCACACACTTATATTTCTTTATTTTCTTTGCAGTTCAGATGATGATGATGATGATGATGATGATGATGATAGTACCCCCCCAGTGCTGTGTGGTTATAATAATGTTTCCCACTAACACACCATCATTTACTTCTCCCCCTATTTAACATTGTAACTGCTGGTCACTTTTTCTACAGTCTTCTTTTTGACACATGATCTTTTATGGTGTTTCGTTATAGATTAAGAGAACCACACTAGTGGACAGTCGAACATCAGTGACTGATGTGAAGTTTGCCCCTAAACACATGGGCCTGATGTTGACCACCTGCTCTGCGGACGGAGTGGTGAGGATCTATGAGGCTCCTGATGTGATGAACCTGAGTCAGTGGTCCCTGCAGCACGAGATCTCCTGCAAGCTCAGCTGCAGCTGCATCTCCTGGAACCCCTCAAGGTGAGACCATCATTTTACTTAGCTTCAAAAACTGACACTGAAATGTATATAGAGATTTACAGTTCCTCATTTCATTTTCCTGGCTGAACTGTATCTCGGTTTTGCCATACATCTTGTTTATAGGAGGTGGAGCTGTAACAACCAGTCGAACATTTACTGGCAATGATTTTGAAGAATTGTTTGTAGGTTTTCAAGAGAGAATCACTGTTTTCTGATGTTTTATTGATTATGATGCACAGTCCCTATGACATTTTACAGATCATGTGTTTTATATCATACAAAAATAATATACATGTAATGTTTACTAGGTATAACAGAGTACTTGACATACACTCAATTTCCATTTTATGAGGTACTCTTAGCTGCACCTAATGCAGTCTTAGGGCTTGGAAATATGGAGAAAAAAAGATACCACTTTTTGACTTAATACCTTGATAACTATATTATGACAACTGAATTGTTGAAAATTGTTGCTTTTATATGTATAACCTATCTTTGTACAATGAGATGTTTGATAAATAATCACTTCTGTGGATATAATGATGTAGTGCAGTGGTTCCCAAACTTTTTCTTTGTAGATGATGAGAATATCTTCGATTTTAAATTGATTTAAAAAATTGGAACTTATAAAACGGCAACGTCTTATTTGATAGAAGAAAATGAATAATAAAGTGAGGAATCACCTTCACAGTGGAATTATTAAAAGTCTAACTGTAATACTAAGCGTTGGGTGTCATTTGGATTTTAACGATTTTGGTTCAGATTTTGGTTCTGCTTTTCGATTCTTTGAGAGGGTAAAAATAAGTCACATGCCACTTTCACATATCAAGTATTTATGAAAACATTTAGTCAAATGACTATTCATATTTACAAATCACATCATACTGTTTTAAATCCGTCGCTGTTATTGAATACAATGATTTACTAATCAACTCTGCATTGTTTTTGCATTCACAAGTTAGTTCTAAGTGGTGCAATTTGAGAATTGTCGATTCCCCAGTCTCCTCTGAAGTTACACTGCAACCTGCCTGTGAGACAGAGTCCAACCACACACAGTCTGTGTCCAACACATGTCCTGCAATACATATCTGACAGCTGCCCAACTGCTTCACTGTTTGCAAAAGTAAATATCATCATATTTTCATTAAAAAAAGTAACTTCCTATATCTGCTTCACAAACAATATGTAGTAAGTTCCCTCTGCCTGTCTGTCTCACAGCCCGGGGATGTGAGGACAGCGTGTGGTCAAACAGCATAGGATCTAAAACTTAGGTTTCATTACGATAAGGAATAATAACGGGCGTTCAGCGATCAGCTGATACGGAGTAGAGACAGAGGCCTGCGGTCCGTGGGGCTCACTAAACCAGCTCCCTGAGAGAAAAAAAGGGAACCTGAACATTTCCTTTGCAAAAAATACACCTTTAATCACCACATATTTTCAGTGACTGGTGTGTGCTTGCTTTGTGCTGCAGTTCTTTTCAGCAGCTGTGAGCTTAAGCATGCCTCAATCATTTGCCCTGCAATAGCGCTGCAGGGGCCCAGTACTTTGGGAACCACTGACGTAGTGGGTAAAGACAAATATTATGATTTATAACATTAAACCACTTTAATGTAAAGCAGAAATAAATCTAAGAAAAGTCAATAATAATGACATATTACGATTCATATAAATCTAAGGCAATATCTACTCTCATATCATGCTATCAATATAACATTGATATATTACACATAGCACAGCCTGTTGGATATGACAGTGGAGTTTGAGGATCTGTCAGTGTATAATGTGTGCTTTCTCGCCCTTCCACACAGCTCTCGGGCCCACCCACCAATGTTTGCAGTGGGTAGTGACGACAGTAATGTGAATTATGGTGGCAAAGTTCAGATCTATGAGTATAATGAAAACACAAGGTGGGTTTCACTGAATTTACCAATCTTTATGTCACTCTTTTTCAAAAATCAAACCCAATTAGTTGAAAGAAAATGTTAATGATTGTTAAAAAAGTTGTTTTACCATTGTTTACAGGAAATATGCTAAAGCAGAGACCCTGATGAGCGTCGCAGATGCAGTCCATGACATTGCGTTTGCCCCAAACCTGGGGAGGTCTTTCCACGTGCTTGCTATTGCAACAAAAGATGTCAGGATCTTTAAACTTGTTCCTATGAGGTGACTGATTCCATGATTTTCTCTGTTAAGTCACAGTGTTCATGTGAAGGACTCACAAAAAACACATTAGTGTAGTCGATGAAATCCTGCATTTCACTGCAGGACAGTATACATTATAACTGTTTTTAAACATAATGTACGGTGGCCCTGAAGTGCAAGTCAAAACAGCATTTCAGGAAACACCACAGCATTTCAGGAAACACCACAGCATTTCAGGAAACACCACAGCATTTCAGGAAATGCCACAGCATTTCAGGAAACGCCAAAGTTTTTCAGGAAACACCACAGCATTTTAGAAAACACTACAGCATTTTAGAAAACACCACAGCATTTCAACTTATACGGAAAGGGTATTCCTTTAGGGAGAACACTTCTTGTTTGTGATTGGACAGAGCCAGCCAGAGAAGCACAGCTGTGATTGGTTGTTTTTGCTGCCAGTCAAGAAATGACGCTTCGTGATTGGTCAGCACCCGACAGCGCAACATGTCCTGAAACATCAGCCGTTAGCTGTTAGCACTCAGAGCTTATAACTCCTCATATCTGTTCAGAAACTGGACAAAAGTTAAACATGAACAAACTGCAGACTGTCTGTGTCATGGTGAATACAGTCGCTGCTTTATTTATGTCTGTATAATGTTGTTGTGAGTGTGGACGGAGCAGCTACGGGTTAGTTTAGCCCAGAGTTTCTCAAAAATGTTCATACCAAGGACCACTTAACCAATAAAAAAACACTCGCGGACCACCTAACTCCACAAATATCCAAAAA